CCACGAGTGATACTCGTTAATACCAAACCTATGGACAAATATTTGCTTCTTCCAAGTTGATGCAAACACTGATTTGTTTAAGTTTCACTTGAGGAAAATTTCGAATGACAAAACATATAACGCGGTATATACAGGTACGAAAATGAAAAAGTTACATGTTCACAAGTTCTATGGATGAGATTGATCAATCTAGACTGATGAAGACAAAATTTGCCCATTGGTCTATTTTTCTCTTTTGTGAATCCCCTTTTACCTCATAAATGTACGTAGTGTGGATCATTTATACCGTTCTATATCTTAAATCAAATTAGATAACACAACTCTATAAACAACTACAAATAAACTTAGTAGTCTGTTTTGTATTAATGCCCATGATTTTACGCAGTAAGAGAATATAGATTGTGAAACAAAATCGACCGGATGATTTTTGACATAAAACTTAAAGCATTAAACTTAGATTTTAGGCAACTTAAATGTTTGATATTTTCCTTTGGGACTTTCGAAATAGAATATTTTCCTTAATTGAATCAAATAACTGCACACAACCTACCACAAATTATGGAAATGAATTTGAATGCCAATATTGAAATCGCTTCACATAACTGCACTGATTCTGAAAGTAAGATAACTGTATAAATACTGACACTTATGTGACTGGCACACAGAAAAAAACTGTAGGTGGAAGATGAATAGAAGTCAAGAAAATATTTATTAGAATGTTTCCGGTTCGGAGTTCAATCAGTTGAGACACGTATTACACAGGCACAACTAATCCCTACTCCTGAGACCCTGAGAGAACGATAGAAGCGGCAAAATATGACAGTATAAATCCATGGAGCCACTAAATGTTGGATTGAGCTGTGTTACATGATACACATTATCTAGTTGAGGTTTAAGTGGTAATCGAAATCTATGGTTGTATACTTTAAGTGAAGTGGATGGAGTTTCCAATGAATAATATATACTCGGTCTTTATACCCCACTAAATACTGAGTTTCTGTAATATGTCACACTACTATCTCCGTGATTACATTAGCCGTATCTTCGACATATACTTATTTATTTCGGATCCTGTGTTGTTAATGTGTGATTGACGCAACGAATTGTCAATTGAACTATAGAAGCAACGGTTCATCTAACAAATAATAATACACTCAAACTTTCATATACATATACCCTCTCGAATAAATCGATTGAGATAATAAGGTCTACATAGAAACTCAATATCAAAGAAACAACACCGTTGATGGATCTTGATAAATCCCTGTATGGTGAATTTCCATGTGATTGGGTGGCCTAGAGATTAAGATATTGAGGTTTCAACCAACCAATGGGTTGGGGAGATGGTTCAGTTTCATTAGAATCATGAACCTGTTTCAGGTCTAAACCTCCAAAACAAAATATTTAACTCGATAATTTAGTTACATTTATTGGTTAGAACAGTTAAACTATTGATTTTGCAAATTATATGCATACAAAGAACGATTGATTAACTAGTGTCGGTTCAATACATTCACCTTAAAATTTTGACCGAACGTTTGAAATGACATAAGTAACACTGCAAGTTTTGTTGTGGTCTTGATCATTTGTGAATCAGAGGTTAGTGTATGAATAACTCTTCATCTAAAGTCTTGCATTTTTCTTCGCATCGAGTTGTCATTTATGTCCCGTTGAAAGAGTAGTAAATGTAAGCTTATTGCGTAGTCATAACAAACATAAATACGATTAAGTGTCACAATTTTATTTAAATTATTACCATATCGCTTCATCTGCCTTGATTAAGAGGGCTGGGTGGTATCACTCGCCGTCACACAGACAGTATGTTTGATAACCACGTACACAATCACCTACTTGTGAATGAATTCTGATATTGCCAGATTTATAATATTTAAAAAATAAGTGTGTATGTGTTGTGTTCCCATTGAAAATGTTTACTTTTATGAAATCATGGAGACATCAATCTGTATAAGTTAGTTTAATTTTGTCATCACTTTCAGTCCACTGTCTCATTTATGCTATTAAATAATGTGGATTGAATAAAGTCGGAAGGCTGCTGTATTCGTCTGATGTACTATGAGAAAAAGTCTCATGAACATTTTAGTTCCAAACTAACTTGGCCTTATCTTCCAACAAAGGGTATGAAGAAATCAGGTGTTGTAGTGATCACGAACACTAGTGGGAACAATCGAATGTATTTAACATAAAATTACAGGATTTGTTAGTAAATCTAACAATGAAAAAGTTAATGATTAATTTGCAAAATGTCCATCAGGTGTCTCATAATGACTCAGACTTCATTTTCATACAAATTACATTCTGTTTCCATTCTTTACTGTCCGATCCTCTTGTCTCTCTGCTGCCAGATATTCTGTTCACGAGTAACGTCATATACTACTTATGCCGATATAAGTAGCACGCACCACAATGCGATTTCCAGAAATAAAAAAACAATACTTTGTATTGAGCATTAAAATTAATTGCTTGCTAGTTTTCGTAGGCTGGTTCAAACTTCGATATCACATAAATTCAATGTATGCAGGTTGTAGAAAGTATAATGTTCAGTATCGAAAAGCCCAATATAATTACTGGCTAACAGATCAAAGTTTTCATCAGAAATTACAATTCCTAGTCATCCATTACACAAGCGAACCCTAGGACTGAATTTACCACCAACAGCACAGATAATGGACGTTCAATATGACTAGCTACTTAATACTTATTCATTATTTGCTCCATCAACAACGGTGACGGATTTCTTTTAGAGTTCAGATAATTTATTGATCAGCGCAAACAGAAAATGATTGACGTCACATATGGCTTTCCGATTTAGCAACAGTCGAAACTTATTGTATATTACAGATGCTTTATTTCATGTTGTGCACAACTCAAAACCTATTTCATTCATCAATGAATACTAAAGGACAAGTTTCTGTAACATGGTGCTTAATAGTGTAGATAAGTAGTTACTGAATTTTTGTAGAACCAAGCTTTTATGTAGTGGAATTAAAATGTAGATAAATAACGAATCTTTTACATTGATCTGGTAATTAACATCGTCCACTAAATGTTCGACTTCTTACAATCATTATGTTCAATTTATTCCAACAAATGCTCTAGGTGTGATAATTATCATAGAACGATTTCGTCTTTCATACAGAACATTATAACACACAATTGAATTACGTATGCTAGTAAGTTATATACAGTATTCAGTTTTGGAACAAATAGACTTGATAAAAATATCAGGATATTGAATTTAACAGTGAACTAATTCATGTATAGTACATATTCAACGTTGTCAAAATAAACTATAACAGTAAAGTTTATGTAACAGTTTCATTTTACTGAAAAGAACAAGGAGAATATTGAAGAACTGATTATTGACTTGCTTATTTAGCTAGTGTTGTATGAAATTCTGTTTCTTTTTCTCTTCAAGATTAATTTTACACTTCTAATTATTTAATTGTGGTGTAACAAATTTTCTAGAGAACTGTCCAACTATTCACTGTTTGAGATAAATACTGTAAAATGAATACTTGGCAAGAATTGAATCAAAAGAATTTAATAAACTAACCTATAGACTTTATTTATTGCTTGTTTTTATTCAATGAATATAATTCTGTAGAAAAATACAATTAGAAAATTAAATAGTTGAAATCATGAATCAATTGAAGCTAGACCATCATGGAAAACCTGAAGGCATTGGACGGCCGTTTCGTCTTAGTATGCGACTCCTCAGCAGTGCGCGTCCACGATCCTGCACTCCGCAGGACTCGAACCCAGGACCTACTGGTTTCGCGCGCGAGCACTTAACCACTAAACCACTGAGCCGGCATCCAACGGTGTTAATGACGAACTTCAACCAATCCCCGAAGTTGCGCCACCGTACACCATTGTTTTCAATGAGCTTATATCTCACAACAGTGGAGTTCAACCATGTCTGATAGGTTCTGGGTTCGAATCTCGCGGAGGGCGGGATCATGGATGCTCACTGCTGAGTAGTCCCATACTAGGACGAAACGGCCGTCCAGTGTTTCCAGGTTTTCCATGGTGGTCTAGTTTCAATTGACTCATGATTTCAACTATTGAAATTTGTAAAAATCTCCACAAAACCCCTTCTGATAATTAGAAAATTCCTTTTTATATCTTTTACTCTTCATGGAGCATTGGTTATTTTGAAATTACATCTAGTCAACTATTTCTAAACTCATACTACAGTTGAGTATTTCAGTAGTTACAATATAATATGATGAGTAATTTTCTTTTCTTTTCTTACTTCTTATCAGACATAATTAATAAATTTATTCCATAGAATTAGAAAATAATTATAGTTTAGTTAGAAGAGGAGTTAATAAAAAGCAAAAAGCAATTATAAAATGTAAATTACTTTTAATAAAATGAAATAAAATATATTTTGATAAATGATATTCATACATGTGAAAGTGAAATTATTCAAGGAAACATATCATATTTAACCATGTATTATATGTATATAATTGCATCATAGCTAAAACTGTAAAAGAAGAAAGAAAGAAAGAAGGAAACAGAAACATGAATTCTTACTCATGTTGAAACATTGAACACATTCATATATACCTGTTCAATGCGATTTATTACATCGTTGAAAATAGATTTGGAGAAAGTAAAATAAGGTCTATATATATATATATATATATATATATATATATATATATATATATATATGTGTAAAACAAGTAATAAAACAAAATAAAATAGAAATATTGACATTGTTTAATTTGCTAGAAAGAGATTGAGAGAAAGAAAGAAAGAAGAAGACAAAAGAATCATGTATATTTGAAGAATAACGAAAAAAGGACAATGAGATTCTGTGCTGAAACAATACAAGTTTCATAGAGTAAATATGAATAATTCATCATACATATGAAGAAATAAGTTAAGATGATTGATCTTATAATGTACACAGAAATAATAATAATAATAATAATCAAGAGGTAAATTTGATTCACATTATGTTGTTGTTAATGAGTAATACTGAACACTTTTATATAAAGACATGATGAAATTTCATTTACCTGGAATTTAAAGAGCAAAAAAGAGCAATTGGAAAACACAAGCATTACATATGAGTAGTTATTAGTGGTTAGATAAAAACTTTTAAAAAATGCCCATTAACTAACTACATGGGATAGAAATAGTGGATACATTAGAAAATTTAAATTCATAATTTTAACACTAGGTGATCATTAAATTATTGATGATTGAGTGGTGACTGGTCACGACGAGACTGAATTATTGACTTAAACCTCAGAATGATTTGAAATCAAAGATAAAACAGAAAATAGGTTTTTACAGGTAATAAAATAACCTGCTTTTATACGAATCACTACCATAAAATAAATACAACAAATTGTCATAAGCAATTAGAGGGAGTCGGGTTGTTGATCACTTACTAAAATCAGTTAATGTTTAGATATTAGGATTAATTATAGACCGTTATATCAGATTGGTAATCAATATCCTATTTTTTTAGTCAATAGAGCTGAACAAATTTGACCTCGATCGAGTTTGAATGTGGCTATAAATCCAAATGACTCGACATTGAGTGCATTGTGTCTTGATGCGTTAAAGTAATTAACTCTCGTCGTGACAGTCGGTGATGTGAGTCTGAATCCAATGAGAAATTAATTTATTCAATACTATAAATACGCTTTGCTGATTAGTACCCACCTACTACTAGGAAACATCGGCTTAAGTCCATTTACTAATGTATTATTATTTTACGTAATAGCTACTGACTTTAAGACCTAAACACAGGAACTCTAAAAATATCAAGATAAAGTGACTTCATTGAATATTGTATTCATCCATCAAACGGTTAATTTAAGGAGTTTCTATCGAATTTTCAATAATACAAGCGATGAGAAATGAAGGATTGAAACAGTGTGATTACGATTATGAAGACACAAGGTTTTTCGTATTAACCACAAGCAAGTATAGTATAGTTATTAAAGATATATAACCAAGACTATATTCAAATAACTGTCTAATTTGATCAGCAGTTTTATTCTTTAAGACAATGTTAATAAGGCGTAACTAATGTCTGTGAAGATTAGTTAAGCACATGAATCTCAACAACTGAGAAGTATTATTAGCTTTTATTCAAGTAACGGTTGTGGTTCAGATCTAACTAAATATATATATGATTAAGATCAGAGTACTATCAGGGCTATTGGATTAACTGAATATTCCAACAACAGAATATGTCAGAACAACATAACATGAAAACATTAATTTCCGATAAATAAACAGTTTTTAACATATAAATTCTAGTCCTACTTACCTATCAATGTTCCATGGAATAAAAAACTTAATCAACTGACATTCTACATTTTGTTTTGTCAATAATATTTTATAAAAGTCCAATCAGTCAAGTAAATAACGCTACATTATAAATGACCTGATTGTGTTATGATAGTTCTAATTATCAATGCATTTTTTAAAATACTTAGACAATTTACTTTCCTCCCTCAAAAAGGATAATATACAAGTCTGATGTTTCTTAATCACCTTGTTTATATAATTAACTTTGAATATGTTGTCAACTTGAAGGTCAAAACACCACCTTAATGTAGACTTTGCTCATATTGAATTTTTGTTCAGCGAGGCTTACATTAAAGCTGTTAGAAACCTTAATGTTATACAGTCAAATTTTAAAAACATTGATCATATTTAAATGTGAAAATAAAAAGTACTAACCACTTGATAAGCATAATAAAGATGATCCAATGTAACAAAACTCGTTATTAAATGAAGGACGATACACTCAATAGACGTATCCTTATTTATTGGAAGAATGAAACATATAACAACGGTAATTATTGAATATAAATAAACTTCTTTGTTGTGCAATGGCGCTGGGACATGACATAATTGCGCGACGATCAAACGACACTAAGAAAAAACGAAAAAGAAAGTATAAGACACGAAAGTGACATATGTTAAAATATGTATGTATTCATTTATTTAAACACAGAAAAATTTGCACAAAGGGGCACCAAATACATATGAGCCACACAATAAAAAGTAGTAGTTAATATTGATTCATGTGAGGGTTGTGATATTGCCCGGGTGCGCGAACCAAAGCAGGGCTAAATGATGCGAATTAAGATGACATTAAAACTATCATAGGATTAATCAAACTATTAAAACTAAATTCACTTGGTGTTGTTTCACTTGTATCTTCCCATTGTTATTTAGGACTGCAATTGATTAGTCTCATGTTGGAAGATACAAGTAAAACGACACCAAGTGAGTTTAAACTTCACCTCATTGCACAAGAAGGTGGCTATCAGGACTCAGTAGCTGAGTGGATAACGCGATGGCGTTTGAAGCGAATGGTACTGGGTTCGAGTCCCGAGGTGAACACCAACTCTGGGATGCAGGTACATCCAGCTGACGAATCGCGAATAGGACGAAACGCGCGTCCTGAATTCCACTACTAGCCACTATCCATCTTTGCTTATTAAAACTAGAGTTTAGATTTACCAAATCAATCACAAGGACGTTAATAAATAAAGATATATATCTGCATATCGAAAGTTATTCAACGATATTTCTAAGACACTACTCCTGATAGTGAGCATCATTTGTGAAAAATTACATTTTATTTATTGTGTTAACTTCTGGGGAAACAGGCTTATCATGATACACTACATCGACTGATCACTGAGTAGTATCCAATGTTATGCATGTTTATCACGCAGTGGAGATCAAACTTTACTGATGAAATTGAAATGTGGCCACTTGTTAGCGGGACATAGATTGGATTAAAGTATTTCCCGTGCAGGATTGTGTTGGGGCACGCTGAGTGGCTATTTCTTAACTAATCAGAGCTAGAGGGTACTTGGAGAAGATCCTAAGATTTTCCTTATTGCGATTCCTACCTCCATTCAACCTTGCTATTTAGAGTATAATTACGTTGCTGTTCGACGGTGTTCCGATTTGGGGATTTGTCAAATGAAATAGTGTCCAAGAATGCTAAACAATAAGAGTAGATGGGTCGTAATAAGAGAAACCATAACACTACTAGACCAAGTGATTCAAAATGGAGTATTTTAATTCAGTAGGAAAATATGCATCTAGATTTCGTGTCATCTGAAACTCTTCAGTAAAATGTACCTACAATCTTAAGGGAGCTAATGTTCCGAATAGCTCAATGGCGATGCTTCACACTACAAAGCTATGTGATGACTGTTGGAGTCTTACAGAAAGTAGTAGTTCACCCGATAATGCAGGTGTACCTATTTGAAAAGGGACGAGAAGAATGAAACATGGGTCGAGTATTCTCGCTGATTACTTTTAGCCACCTAACAAAATCTAGTTATTCTGTTTTAGGTCTGAAACTAGGACTATTCCTTCATTTTATATGGGAGTTGTGTTTGGTATTCAATAAGTAATGACCTGAAGATTTGAGAAATAATATTCAGGTTTATTTCTAGGCATGTGTTAAAATACTCATATATATGCATAACTATACTCGAAGAACAACATGATTTCTTGTTTAAAGCATTATTCAGATTGATTAGACGTAACACAAGCTTGCCGGCTCGATCACAAATAGGTCTAAAGTGTATTATATTTATTTCGGTTTCGGCGGTTGAATAGTACCATACAGATAGAATCATAAGAAGGAGTTAAGAGCTCTAATAGATAAGTCCCTTCTTTGGTATGGCATTGCATTATAGCCTGATAAAAAAGCTTAGGTCATCCAAGACAATAGTAACAGTATAGAGATTTTTGAATAAAACAACTGATATAGTTTTGTGATAAACGTTGGATTACACGTGCATCAAAACACAATATTGTATGATGAATAAAACAATACTGGGCGTTAATAGGAAAACAGACTTCTAAACATAATTTAAATCCACGAAGTTGCGCCACCGTACACCATTGTCTTCAGTGAGCTGATATCTCACAACAGACCTGGTTGAACAACACTGGTAACGGCTTCTCACTAGAACTCCAGGAGTATCTCCTGAAGTCAGTCACTAGTGACTGACCAGGTCTGTTGTGAGATATCAGCTCATTGAAGACAATGGTGTACGGTGGCGCAACTTCATGGATTGGTTGAAGTTAGACATTAACACCGTTGGATGCCAGATCAGTGGTCTAGTGGTTAAGTGCTCGCGCGCGAAACCAGTAGGTCCTGGGTTCGAGTCCCGCGGGATGCGGGATCGTTGATGCGCACTGCTGAGGAGTCGCATACTAAGACGAAACGGCCGTCCAGTGCTCTCAGGTTTTCCATGGTGGTCTAGCTTCAATTGACTCATGAATTCAACCAGTGAAATTTCTAAATTCTCCACAAAACCCATTCTGACAATTTAAATCGTACATAAATCAAAGATGATGTTCGGCATATAAAAAAAAATCAACAATTATAAACTGATATGTCATGATAAACAACACAACTAAAGATAATAACAACAACTACTACTGTGTAAAATTGAAAAAGAAAGTAGATATTATGCTTTACTTAAGTTAACTAAACGCCCAAAACTCCGACTTATGAGTTCGATCAGTAAAGTTTGTGTATGTACATCTATGAACATAGAGATGTGTATAAATGTTGTCTTATTTCATAAGAATAATATCAGTAGATAAGCAAAATTATAGTTCACATTATAAAAAACATTAATTACGTAAATGTTAAATAATCAATCTAACCCCATAGTGATATATATTAAACGCGTGTTGATGAAAAATCCCAGAAAGTCAGTAAGTATATAGTCTGAATTTTAATACCATATTTTAAGATTTTTTTTCATTTACAAAATTCAATGATTTTGACAACAATAAAATAAATGATCAACGTACAAAAAAAGTGAGGGAATGTTATAAAACCACTATACAAAAACAATAATACTTACTGTTACATTTGAAGCAATTGTTCCACAACAAAATAAAAATGTACGTGTATTTTTTTCCAATAAATTTGATGGTGAATAATAAGCCCATATATATGAACTAAATATAAGTAGTCCTGCAGGTATAAGAGGTCTAACTATACCCCATAATCCAAGACCACGATGCCATGGTTGTTTATTTGGACAAGTTCTTATAATATTCCATAATGTAATTGGTATATGAACAAAATAAAATGAAGCTATTCAAAATTCATTAATAAAAATAGAAATGAGAATAAACTAATTTAAGGTTTATTATATTGAAAAATAGAATTACACTTTCTAAAAATATATGAATTTTACAATAGTAAACATTTATCGCAATTGAAGAAAACATAGATTTCATTCTTTCTTTTTTCAAGTTCATTGATTTTTCGAACTTTTCACATATATGTTTTTAATTAGTAGTTTGGGGTTATGGAGTCTGATAAACATCATTGAAATCATGCACAGATCAATGTTAGGCCACCATTAAAAATCAGGAAGTACTGAATGGCTGTTTCATTTTATTATGAGACTCTTCAACAATACGCACCCACAATTCAACACGCGGGATTTGGATGCAGGATAGGCAGTTACATACAGAAGACAATCGAAGATTGTCTGAGGGCATAATGGATTTTTAAAACAATTAGTCCCTTTGATAAATTTCGATAATGCAATGAGAAGACGTAGTTTATCAGAATTATGTGATATATTTGCGCAATACATTTCGAACAATCTGATCACACATATACTTGTTAAGAACATTTATACATGAAAAATTAAAAGGTCAACTAGATAGGTTAAGGGTAAGTCATAACAAAGGAAAAAATATTAAAGTACACAAAAACAAATGTGATTACCACTCTGGACAGTAAATCAGTACTGCCAGGGTAGGTTAAGTGTAAGTACAAATTGTTTTTGAACACATAAAGGGGGTTTCAATTTTCGTATAGCCAAGGCTTCAATAAACCTTAGTATACGTCCTTGAAGGCTTTTGTACAACACAACAAATGATGATTTGATATCAACCTTATGACCCGTCTCAATCAATGGATTTGTCGAAGTAAGACATTAACACTGTTGGGTACCGTCTCAGTGACCTAGACATTAAGCGTTCGCGAGCGAGATCAAGGGTGCTAGGTTCGAATCCTGCGTGCAGGGTCGTGGATACGCACTGATGAGAAGCTCCTTAATAGGACGGCCATCTATTGCTTCCAGGTTTTCATTGGTGGTCTAACATTGATTGGGTCATGATTTCAATGAAAATCGACAATCTTTACAACCCCTAACTGAAAATCATCTTATCGATTTTGGATTCTAGAGGAGTTACCAACTCACTGCTCTATGCCTCTTATATCTGTTTTCAAATGATATGATACCCATGTAAACTCTAAATCTTCTAGAATTATCATATAATCCAACTTATCAGTCTCCGTACTACATATAATAAATGCCTTACCTCGCTATCTTTTTTCAATTCCACTTTCCAATATCAGCCTGAACAAAAAAGTGGTAAAACATTTCACAAACGGGGATCGAAAATAATGATAGTGGATAGATGAAAAAATATCTAAACAATTAGACCGTTGTTATCTTGATGACTTCATATAGCTTTACTGATGTGATGTGGCAACTTGGATGCATGAACACATAATTTTCACGATTTAACATTGCTTATGAATGACTGAAATTGGCATTTGACAAACATGCTATGCTATATTAGTCACAATATTACAATAGAAACATATTTGAAAATTGTTCGCGTAATTAACTTGAGATACTATAATGAATAATTCAATTTTCCTAACAAATTATCATGGTAGAACAACACCAATAAACTGATGCATAAAGGAGATAAGTATTGAGTAGGTAATGATTTATTGCATAAGAAAAAAGGATTCGAATAAATGTAATGGATTATTAATTTATCGATCTTGATAAAAAAGTGATTTAATAAACGGATATGGTAATTTATATTTCGATGGTAATACGTATGTCAAACTTTCATAAACTGTTTTATTTAATTTTTTCAAGTTAAATGTAATTATACTATATTTCATTGGTAGGTTCCGTAAACAGTTATTTCATCCACTTGATTTTTCACTTATCAGATTTTCTAAACTTTGCGTATGTGTATTGATGTAACCCAGTTTTACAGTCTACCAGTTCTAGATAGTCCCTATCTTTATGTCTGCTCCCACCCTTACGTTCTCTGCACCACTCTTCAAATGACCTTATATGTAGGGGAGTGTTATATAAATAAGCAACCACCAAGAAATAAAAACAAAAGAGTGATCAAAGTTATTGATTTTGATTACGCAATCTCATATTGTCTCTTAACCCGATTAATACGGATCTAAGCAGCTAATGAGAATCCAAGACGTCCAATTTGGCATGATTTATCGATCCACCATTTCGATGCGTAGAATTTTCTAACTTGAAACACAGGGATTTAGGTGAATAATTATTTACACGCATATGTAATGAATCACTTACATAGTAAATTCTTCATTGACTTGATATGTACCGAACATGCTTTCACCTCTGACCTTAAATCTTACAATCACTACGTAGCCACGACATGAACACATTTTTGATTTATCATTAAGTTTACTTGAACCTAATAGCCTGAGTAATTTCTACACAAAAGTAGAGGTTACTAGCAGAGTAATCCAGAAGACAAGCTTCCTGATAGTATAAACCAATCAAACGAATGTAATCACGACCCATCTTATTAATATGTCCAGTGGTAAACAAACTCAAAGCCCATTATTTGAAAAGTTGGAAAATTATTCGTTAGGTGATGATTATTACTTTTTACTTAATAACTGCTTGTTGTATTTGGAGCTCGTAAATTTCATTTGTTGATATTTTTAACGCTGAACCAAGCAGTCTTTTTAAGTATACAAGCACTTTATGCGAATGACGTTACATTAGATATTTCTTGACTACGTCTCTGACTATCAAGCTCGATTACTGCACGGATCCTAAAAAGGAAGTCTGTACCATTAGACGTGAATTAAGCCAACATTTGATAACTTCGCAGACTGATTTCATGTTTTGGTTTGATCGTCTCTAGCTTTCAAATCAATCCTGTTCCCATGAAATATGTTAGGCACATATCAATGACTACAGTTTGTGAAAATTTATGGCTTTTTCAATTGATTTATCATCTGTACCCAATACTTTTGCCTAACCTTATCAATCCAAGGCTGAATTTTAGTAGTAAAAAAATACTAATCTTTCAAAAAATAAGTTACATGTTTGAAAAATGATCTATTAAATCGGTTAAGACAGCCAGATAGTATTAATAGCACTGAAATATATACATTGTGATTCAAAGCTGGGTAAGAATATGCACTTGATTAACAAGTTACACAATAAAATTCACCGTTTTTCAAAAAGCTACAAAAGCAAATAATTCAAGCATTGCTCGGTATTAAGGAGGAAGAATATATATGTAAAATCTCAGCGATTTTCAAATTTAGATGGAGGCTGTTATATATTACAAGTCATCCTAGAAACTAATCGTAAAATTTAGATATGGAATTTCGATTTTAATCACTCGGTCGTCGATTAGGAAACTAATTAACTGCCGTTTAAGCATTTCAAGACCATTTTAAAACTTAGTTATGGGAATAATACACGAACAAACAACTGACTACTCAATTACACTGGATATCACAAATATGCTGATTGATGATGAACATACCTTCTAATCAAAGAATCAACTAGCAAATAGAACTTATACATCATAACTAGAAATATTCTACTAGTAATAGGTCTCTGAAAACTTGAAACTAACTGTTCGATTAAGCCGAAATTCTATAAAATAGATACATAATTAGCTAAGTAAAATCAATTCGTAGAAATCAAGTTGCGCGTTCAAAAAAATATATAAATTTTTACATTTGTGCGTAAACTTGGCCAAAATAAAATTCGTCTATATCTAATGTAAAGTTTGCACAGAATGAACAATAAATAAAAAACAAGGTCATACACACAGATCAGTGAGTGTACATGAATATTGGAACTAGGCTATTAAGCTTGTTTACTACCGCATAAACATAAACCCGTGAGTGACCACGTTCCAATGTTGTGTACAATATTCATATTCATGAACAGCTGTCTTGAAATATATATATAAACGAAATTAATTTTTAACGCTACTTACAAAAGAGTGTGAATTTGAAAATAGATGCACTTGACCAACCAAATAAAAGTGGCTTCATAAAAATAGTAGGTGATCGCCAATAGGCGAGTAAGAAGACCAGAGCAACCATCTAAAATTTGAAAAGACAATAATAATAACGACACGTAATAGAATATTCTTTTCCTGTTATCAAATTTTACATGTATATCATATTTCTTTAACTAACTCAATTGAAATAAGCAAATAAATCGATGAACTGAATAAATAGATATGATTTTAATTCAAACGAATATATACACAGCAACTATGCCGAACGTTTGTAAATTCAGGCTAAAATACCAATAAACAAATTCTGTTTTTAATTCAGTTTACTTATTGATAGCGTTCCAGAAATTTCAGTCTAGTTAGAGTGATAGGTGGTAAAAAGACTCGATTTCGAATTACAGTAACACATGACTTAGATTACTGAAGTATGGTTGTGAACACAATTAAACACTACATTTTTTAAAAGGATCTTATGATCGATAAAACTGATCAGTCATGATAGTGGGACATTCACAAAAAAGATTAATCTAACAAATTCATATTAATGTGAACAAACAAAATTTAAAATGTTCACAATTATTACAATCACATGTAGTATATTCAAACTTAACTGGATCATTATGTCGATCAGAAAATGTCCAAACCAATCAACTAGTAGAAGTCTTACTAACCATGTACAAGTACTTAGTTTGTAGCTTTATACTATGTATGTGAGTTATAGATACCACGTGGTTACTTTAATCGAATTAAGAGGACCACGGAACCAACTTGTGACATGCTGGTTAGAAATCAAGTGTTTAAGGCTCTGTAACTAAACGAACAAACATATCTATGATTACATAACCTATAACCAGTTGAATAATCTATAAACATACATAATACAATCTAAAATGATATAAAATAGATTTACAAAAGGTTTAGCTAACGAAAATTTCAAGTTCACCGGGAAAACTTTTAATTTACCAAAGAAGAATAAAAGCAATTTTAGTGAAGAAAATTTTCACTTCGATGACATCATTGTACAGTTGAATTTATAGTTTATTTATTTACTAAAATAGTAGTCTACAGTGATACAAGTGTTATGTAGTCCTATAAAATTAAAGTTATATCTTGTCATAGATTGTTCATACAGATCAAATCATTGAAAGTAATTCACGTAATAACCCATCAAATAATTAAAAATACATATATTAAGATGAAGATGGTCTATGAATGAGTGATAATTGTTCACTCAATAAATAACAAGAACACAATAATTAAATGTTGTAATAATAACTAATTAATGTTTGCCAAGAAAATAATTTAAAAGGAGCCGAAAAAAGATAAAAAGGAAGATTTAAACCACGGTAAAATAGGGGACTGAATATACTGTTTTTGTATACAAAAATTACATTTGAATTTGTGGATATCTAAACCCTTTGCCAAAAGCATAAGTTTTAAATATGTATTCCCTTTAAATCAATCCTTTTAAATATATGGATGATTATGAAAGAAGGTTCTGGTGAACCAGTATGGTCAGAATTAACTAAAAGTTTTAAGATTGATTTCTTCTGTCCTTTCAATAGCCAAAAATGTGTTTCAAAAGAGCTTGTTTTATGTGGTCAATATGATCTGCTTCATAATAGGAAGTAAATTGATGGATGTACATTGGTTTGGTTCAAAACAGAAGCTTGTCATCCACACAAGTGCGAATCGAAGGCCGACTAGAAAGAGACAAAGTCTACCTGAATAGAATGGGGTTTTTTCAGAGATCTCGAAAGTCTGTTGCCCAGAATCTCTGGTGTATGATCTTCAAACTGAATATTCATGAAGAGGATCTTTCTTAGTGTCAGAGACACGCTTTCATATTTTTGTTTTTGCTTCGAATTTTTCTCAATGAATCTGGATAGATATCTGTTTTTGGCAAGTATCTGCCGTAGTTTATCAAGTTTGATGTCAATTATATCATTTGCATAGACTTGTCTAACTTTCGTAAATAGAAAGTGGACCAGGTTTCTGTTTTGATTTAATGGGATCGAACTTTGAAAATTAGTGTACGAGCTACTCCAGGTAAACTTTTTACATAGATTTTTGTAATAGACTATCTAGTCTCTTTTCTAACAAAGCAACCAGGTAGTGGAACTCTGGATTAAACTCGGATTCCACTCTGAAAATAAATAACTGACGGCAACGATTGAACTTTTCTAGGATGTTGAAATCAACATTTTTGTCACAAGTAATGAAAGCACCATATAAATATCTTTTTTATGGACAGAAATTGTTGTCTGTTGTTTTGAGTATAATGTTTTCAGGATTGGGAACAAAAACAGTCAGCTAGATGTGAGCAGTTGTGACCTCATCATTACGCTGTTGGTTTTGCATATAAAGCTCATAACTAAATGTCAACTGGACATTGAAAGTGAATCACAGTAGTAATTCCTTCAAATAGCATGTTGGAACACTGATATCAAGGCTTTTGTTTCCAATAAAATTACATAGTAGGCAGATTGTTTCCGTGAGAGGCCCATTTGTAATAACAGAAGAAATATCCAATAAAATTACGTTTTTTTAGTTTCGTTGATATCGGGCATTGAATAAGTAAAGTCAAACAGATCAGCAGTGATTTGTTTGTTGAGTTAATTTTTGACTGATCATACAATCCCAGTCAGCCATTTAGCAACAGCATTAAATAGTGAGTTATTCATATTTAATGTAGGACGTTAAAGAATATCTTTCTTACGAACTTTAAACAAGTCATACAATCGTAGAATAATGGACTCAAATGGTTTAGGTTATTCATAGAGGTCTCCACAGATAACTGATTTATTTTTCATCCTAAGGATTTCGGTTAATTTTTGCTCTACTTGCTCCGTAAAATCTTCTTGAATATTTTTTCTTTAAGAAATTCGTTGGTATCAGTTTAAATGAAAGGATGCCTCTCAAGTTTAGTCTACTCGATTCGTGATGAAATGCCAGTATCCTTATTCACATTTAATTGGTTCTTTGAATAAGTTAATACATACAATTGTGCATGGGCATGCATGATTCTACTCAAAAACACATGGATTAATACCATAAAAAAATTGCAATTATATAAGCATAAGAATTATGCGTTATCATTATTAAAGTTCAAATTTTGAACAGATACATTTATATTTTAAGGCTGTTCCTTTTAAAATCCAGTAATAATAACTAATCAGTATATTACTTCGCTGTTTTAAGAAGTAAACAGATAACGATTTTGAGGGTAGAAAATTTTACGTAAACAAATTTGCTTAGCGCACTTACCCATGAAAATGTACTTTTAGAATATTATTTTGTCACCAAACATCAAATTGTTGTAGTTAAATAATTAGTACATGTATACTTGAATTTATGAGTCGATTAAAGCTAGACCACCATGGAAAACCTGGAAGCACTGGACGGCCGTTTTGTCCTGGTATGGAACTCCTCAACAGTGCGCATCCACGATCCCGCACGAATGATTCAACCCAGGACCTATCGGTCTCGAGCGCGAACGCTTAACCTATAGACCACTGAGCCGGCATCCAACTGTGTTAATATCTAACTTCAACCAACCCACTATAGTCTTCAGTAAGTAACTTCCTCACAACAAAAACGGTTTAACTCCATTGTTCACGGCTTCTCACTAGAACTCCAAGAAACACCTCTTGAAGCCAGTCACTAGTGAGCACATGATTATTATCAGATTGAGGGTTTTCGTAAAGATTGTAGTAATTTAATAGTTGAATTCACGAGTCACAATAGAAAACCTGGAAGTGGTCTAGAAGTTAGGCGCTCGCGCGTGAGACTGATAGATCCTGGGTTGAACCACGCATGCGGGATCGTGAATACGCACTGTTGAAGAGTTCCATACCAGAACGGAACGGCCGTCCAGTGCTTCCAGGTTTTCCATGGTGGTCTAGCTTTGATCGACTCATGGATTCAACTACTAAATCACTACAATCTCCAGTCAGTCAGTTGGCTACAACGTAGGATCAGGCACATATGTGCATCGGTCCACGTTTCCATACCTCATTAGCATAAGATGAACACCGGATTCCTAGAAGTAGTTGATTCAGTGGTGATAATATATAAAAACCACAATCTCCACAAACCCTTAATATTTGATCAAGGTCTACGACTACATGACTTAAATGAAAAATGAAAGAAAAAAAACATTAGAAACAATTATTGACAGTACGATCGATATTACGGTATGGTATTTTATTAATTGTGAATTTACACAACAGACCGGTAGGTATGCACATGAAGTATCTACTGTAGACTCAGTTCATACCGTTTACTTAGCTGTTAGTTTTTGAGAATATGCTATCATAAATTACAACTTACAAAAATCAAGTCAATGTTGATTAGGTTAAAATTCTTTTACAGTAAATTATCATTTCGTGTGAACATTATTTTTGGAATTTTAATAGATTTTTAAGATATTTCGAGTCAACGATAAATACTCAGTTTAAATATTTTAATCATTTCTTTCACTGATATATAATCGAGGAATTTTTATGTCTTTCTAAGTGGTTACACAAAATCAACATCAAATAGCTTCATCTACAAAACTGGTGTTTTTACCCTAGTGAGGAAGGGAAAAGAACTACAAGGAGTTAGTTTTTATTTCATGGTATTGAAATTGAAGTAACGCGAATGATTAACACAGTGGACGAACGTATCATATTTAATGACTAAACCATGTTGCAAAATAAATTGAGTTTACTCAAAGCTTTTTATTTTAATGTATCGTTATTGAAGAGAAAGTGATAACAATTTAACCGATGCTTTAACTTGTTAGTTGTAAAACATCCAGTAATTAAAAATTTATTAAATAGAGTGATGGGAGCTTACAAGTTGAGGTATTTTACTCTCAATGATCTGGTAGTAAAATCGAACTGCATTTCATCAACTTCAGCCTCAGTACCCAGCCAATACATATAAAAATGTAAATTAATGAGTACCCGGTAAATCAGAGACACGGTAAATAGATAAACATATGAAAACATATAGATTACTTACTATTTGACTTGCATCGAACGTCCAAGGTAGAAATAAGGTGCCCGTAATGTATTTTTCCCAATGGGATAGAAGAAAAGTGATAATTAATACCCACTGCCCCATAAACATTTCTCTTACAGTATAAATATTACCTAGCAATGAGAACATTGATCCAGCAAGAAAAAGACACACCCACGAATCGCAACCATGGTCAAATAATTCGCCAAGAGCCGATGATGACCTAGTTCGACGAGCCTGTTTTCCATCTGTACCATCTAAAGTGAAAAATTATTGTTCAGTTTACAATGTGAGGCGAACCTAAAGTATGGGCAATGAATACAAGGAAAGCGGTAACGAGCCAAACCCAAGTAGGAACATTGACTGTTGAGAAGAAAGTGGGATTATAGCAGCACAATAGGAGATAATGGGCCACAGTCAGAAGGAAACCAGTGAATGTTATGAGGTTTGGAGCTAGCCAAACAGGGTAAAACTACAAGCAAATATAAGGACTTGTTAATGAATAGATAAACCATACATTTGCCAACCAATTCCAGAAGGGATGCATAACATATATTGAAAAAGGTGAATTGTCCACACACGAGTACTTATAATTTTTCAATCCGGATACCATTTGATCAGTTAGTTGGTGCATTTTTGTTCAATTTTGTAATTTGTATTCCAGTGACTTAATCGATAACAAAGACTAAAATACATAACATTAAAAGAGCTTATTACGTATGTATACATAATAAAAAGATTTCTTACAACTAACAAAACAGAAAGCAACATACTAATCAAGAGAGGACAAACCTTCAACCAACCTTTACTTTTTATTCTTTATTGGATTCTAATAATATCACAAGATGCAAAATAGAAGGTAACAAGAAAGGAGTGCCACACTTGTTTGTAACACAACTTGTAGTCCATATGAACTTAATTATACCTGTTACCCCGAGTGGAGGACCATAGGTCACCCATCAGCATTCTCCATTCAACCCTGTCCTCGGCAATCCCTTCCCGTTACTATTCATCCTTTTTACGTCTGCTTCGAATTCTCAACGCACTGTGTACCTTCGTCTTCCTCTTTGCCTCGCATTCATTGACTTCAGGATTCCAAGTTGGCGCTTGCCTTGTGGTGCAGTTTAATGATTCCCTCAATGAATGTCCTATCCACCTCCAGCGTATTTACCTAATTTCTTTTTCAACTGGAAGCTGGTTAGTTCTACCCAATGTACTCTGTTGCTGATGGTATCCGGTCAACGGACACTAGATACTTCGCATGGACAATTATTAATTCCCAAGTTTTAGCCTCATTCAGCAGAACTATCTTGATGTTTGTATTGAAGATTGTAACTTTCTTGTTGGCTGACAGCTGTTTTGAGTTCCACATGTTGTTCAACTATAAGAATGCTGTACTTACTTTGCCGATCCTCGCCTTCACGTCTTCATCAGATCCTCCTTATTCATGACGTTGTTATCCAGGTACATGGAACTTTCCACCTCCAGAGTTTCACCATAATGTGTGATTGCGTTAATTTTCTGTGTTGCATTTGAGGATCTTGGTTTATCTTCTGTGTATGTTGAGGCCAGCTGTTGCAGAAGCTCCTGCCACACTAATTGTCTTCATCTGCATTTCTTGGTATGTATGGGATAAAAGAGCCAAGTCATTTGTGGGGTTCATATTGTTTAGCTGCATCCAAACTGTCCATAGTATTTCGTGCTTCCCCTCAGATGTGGTTTTAATTATTCATTCACTATTAGGTGGACTCCAAAAGAACTTTAAAAAAGTGGATTTTGTGGCATCCCAGTGAATGTTCACAAGTACAATCTAATTTTCAAGTTGTTGTCTAAGGTGATGAATACGAGTAGCCCCTTTCAGAAATATTGAGTTAACTGTTTTCATAACTTAACATCAGAAACAGTGCACGCACCATGGCCATGTGGACTAACGGCTACATTTGGACATCATTGATGGAATTACGTCAGTAGGAAGAACTAAATAGTGACGATGATTATTACCTAGTGATCAACTAATGTATTTCTGACGTTACCAGTGACCTGAATAGCTAAATGGAGGCATTTTAACTGAAATCTCACATCTCTTCAAAACTCCGTGCACCTTTTATCGTTAAGTGTGAACTACAATGAAATCTAGGTTCAGGGCTTTTTTATAACCCCCGCTTACCACCCGATACACGTTATTATTTTATATAAAGCCGGTGTATATTACGTCTTATTCAGAAATGCAGGCAAAAGTATCAAACGGATTGCAAAAAGAGGTTTGATAAGTGTTAGTCGTAAACAAGTAATCAGGATTTTCACATTATGGATGTCTGATTACTCCATAAGGTTATCGACTATTGAACTTGATCGTAAGTTGAAATTAAGACTTGAGTACTCAGGTTGACCAAAACTAGCAATAATAAACCTTGAGAAGGACGTGTTTCGAAATTTACAGAAATGACGCTAATGAACTTACTACCATTTATGCTATTATGAGTAATATTTCTTCGCACCTCCTATCTTATATGGTCATTTTTCTGATCCCGAGTAGTATAATGACTAGGACTTATAAATACTTAGTATCCTGCGACGAGACCATAATTTATGAACAAACCAATCACGTATATAACAGGTCTCGGATTTTGGCGCGAAATCCACTTACTCACTCGGATAAATAGAGTTTTGGCTTTACAGCTGATGTCAGTTCGCGATGAAAACCCGAAATTTAATACCTAAACTTTATTTTCAACTGTAAATTATAATTCTAATTTCTTACACAGGTTAATAATCATCATTTGCCCCTGGTTATTAAGTGATCACTCTCAAAATCAGTCTAGCGTTGCTCAAAGGTTGTCCATGAATAATAGTCTCACTGGGAAATCCCAAAAATGTTTGAGGGATATTCGGGTTTTCCTCAATATCTTCACAGAATCTGATGACATTTTCGGAATTTTCCCAAACTTCGAGGGAAACTACACATTTTTTACAACTTTTGTGAAAATCTCGAAACTTACTCGAAGTTCTCCGGAATTTTCCCAAGATATTGAAATTGAGATATTTGAATCACAAAACTAGATACGTTTCACAAAAAATCACATGACATGCTATAAGGGTTAGTAAGGCAGTTAGATTTATAAGTTAAATGTCACCTAATAATATGAACCAAAAACTGACCAAGTAATTGAAAAGTCATTACTGATATATTTAAATTCAGTTTACGCAATCGGTTAGCGTAAAGCTTTCAGTTTTATGCCAACTTAGTTGCGAGATATAATTGGTTAAGAAAACTTAAAATGAGCTTACAAATAAGCGAGAATCCGGCGAAACCCTACCTCTTACAGCTGCACGGACACTGACACGTTCCGGCAACACTGAAACTGCGCACTCCGACTGTGACCTTGACTAGCAGTATTAAAAATAATTCGAATATTTTCACTGAACAGTGATGAAAAGGAACTTATTTTCATACTAATATATTACTATTGGAACTATAACTTCTATATTTTTCAATATGAGAAGACGGTACCACAATGTTCAAATAATTTTTATACTTGAAGTCGTAGTCATTGTTTATGCCAACAGTACTGCTTCTATGCACCAGGCGAGTCATGAGAAGCTATCGTAATGTTGAACTTGGCCCTAAAGCATATTGGCAAGCTCAACTCCACTGGACCATTTGGAGGAACCTGATGATGTTTTGTCGGTTCATCCACAAGTCGATATTTACTCGACTTCATCAATATTAGAGATGATTGACCCATGTAGATTGAAAGAATACGGACTTGCTGCAAGATTGTATGTTGAATATGAGTACCTCTGGAAGCAGATATCGAGGGATTCTTCTGTACCTCACTCTCTAAATAACGGCTGTCAGAAAACAGTTAGCAATCCTAGTTGTAATACTTGGTCTTTTCTTAGAAAGCAGAGTAACGGTAGGTAGTCTAACCAAGTAAGACATTTAGCATTCTCTAGAATTTCGGAATAAGTGTCGCACAATAATATTTGAGAAATGAGCGTCTACTCAACTAACCAGGTCTTCAAGATATCTCTGCGGTCACTACCAAATGTTTAAAGACATAGTCAACATAGGACCAGACACACATATGTATCGGTCCAAGTTGCCACACCTCATTAGCACAGCGAGGCGAATACCAGATTTACAGAAGCAGTTAACTCAATGGCGTAAAATATGAAGAAAAGATTTTATGTAAGGATATAGTACAGAAGGAAAGAATTAGTTCGTAGAAAGAAAGATATGAAATAATTTTAATCTCATAGTTTAAGGGAAGAAAAACTGTGTATACACCTACGCCATTGTGATCGATTCTGAGCCATGTCACCAAGAGTCGCCAAATATTGGTTAAGATAGTAATGCGGACCCCAACCATGTTGTCTGCATCTACCAACATGGCTCAGACTAGAAGTTAGTGACTTCAAGCACTGATGACATGTTTTGATTTGGCCGTCCTTAAATTTCTTCCAACCATTCCCAACATTAGTCAGCATTGCGCGTCATAGTAATCGGTGTTCAGGCATACGCAACACGTGGCCCAACCATTTCAGTCGATGAAGATCCACAACCTCATCAACTGATTCACGATCATTCCCTAATACCCTGTGTCTGACCTCACTATTACTTACCTGATGATCCCACCGGATGCGTGAAATATTTCTAAAGCATCTGTGATCAAGCACTGGTAACCTACGAATATCTTTGGCTCTTAGTGCTCGTTTTTGACAGCCATAAAGTAGAACTGAACAAACTGCCGCGCAGTATACTCTTCCCTCAATTGATAGATGGATATCTCGCCTTCTCTATATGTGACGTAAGTTGGCGAAAGTCAAACGAGCTTTCTGAGTCCGCGCAATGATTTCGTCGTATATCAGCCCTTTAGGATTGATCAGACTTCCAAGATAAGTGAAGCTGTCGACACGTTCGACTACTTCTGACGATTAGAACGATATTTCCAGCAGTAAGTCTATGATGAAGCTGAACAAAAATAAAGATGGTAACCAGCCTCTTAGAATACCACTTGAGGTTGTTAAACCAGATGACAGTTCACCATAAGCTCTGACTCGACTATTAGTGTTCGAGTAAACTGCCTTCACAAGGTTTGTCAACTTTTAAAGTGCACCTCTCAATGACAGATACTGCCACAGAACTTCTCGTTCTACAGAGACAAATGTTGCCTTTATGTCAGGAAAAACTATTATTGTCTGACGTCGATAAACACTTCTGTGTTTTAATACCTGATGAAAAGTGAATATGTGGTCTACGCGGCCACGACCAGATCTGAAGCCGGCCTGATGTTCTCGTGTTTGATATTTATGGTCTTAGTTAGGCGTCTGATAATTATTGATGCCAGTATTTTAAATGCCATGTCAAAGTAATCCCTCTGTGGTTATCACAGGATGATTTCGACCCCTTCCTATATATTGAAACAATAAGTTATTGTGACCAGTCAGATGGGATTACGTCCAACTCTCAGATTTTAGCTAAAATATTGGTCGACCTAGTCTCTTTACTTGGAATATCATACTTAAAGACCTCTGGAGCCAATCAATGTGAACTAGCTGCTCTTCCTCATTTCAGATTAACTATAGCCTTTTGAACTTCAGGTAGAGTCGTGTGGCTTACTTCAACGTTTCATTCACGCTGTCTGGGAATGGGGGTAGTTGTGGAGTGGATGAAGACCATCTGAACTGTTCCTTAAAATGTTCCACCCATCGTTCTAAATGTCTGGGCTGAAAGCAGATAAGAGTGTCGTCTTTTTCAGAGATAGTCCTACTTACAACTGACTTAATAATCCCGGTTTTTTCCATGAGCCTGAAAAGCTGTCTTGTGTTACCTACAGCCGCCGCTTTTTCCATCACTTTCGCTTTTGTTGCCCATCACTGACCACGGCCGTTCCTTAGACTTTTGCTTAACCTAGATCTGATATGTTTACGCTCTTCGTCGTGTTCAGAGCCTGATAGGATGAGGTTACGAGAATCAATCAGCTCAATAGACTTAAAAGAAATCCATCGGTTTTTGTAATCCTCTGGTTTAAATTACCAACAGATATCACTGCTGTTTGCACAGCTATTGGTATATCTTTCCAAGCAACATCTGTGTCAGCCTGTTCTCGGAACTACCTAAGTGTGACCTCAGTTGTTCCTGGAATCTGCTTTTCGCTTTCTCGTCGCTGTGTTCAACTCTAATTGGTCTTCTTAATAAGGCTTCTCTGTGTATAGCAGCGGACGATCACTATTATCTGTTCGCTGTGCCGGAATACCAAAATACCTACTTAAATGTATTTCAGTTTGGTTTAAGCTACCCACTTGGGCATTAAAGTCACCCACTACGAGACTATATTTGAGTGCTTAGCCGTATGAAGATGTTCAGAGATCTTTCTGCAGAATTCATCTTTCACTTCATCCGAGCCGCAGTCAATGGAGCGTAGGCAGAAACGACGAAACGGCAACGATATGTGTCCCTATCCTTTCAAGTTCTTACGGAGCTGTTTAGCTGAACAACACATGGGCAACTGTTTTCAAGTCTCCATTCCATAAGCGTTTGTCCTGCCCTCATACACAATGCTGCGCCTACACCCATCAGTCCACGGGAAACTGCCGTCGAATCGGTAAGAAAACGCCGAGCATATCTCGTCAGCTCCCTGTTTCGGCAAGGTGAGGTGAAATGAATGACAACACTTGGATCCTTTATGCGTGTTCCGGAGACACAGAATACATCAGTGGTACGAGATTCTAGAGTTTTAGCCAGGGAGGCCTGCTGATTGATTTGATATAGAGTGCGTATGTTGAAGGCTCCAATGTGTAGTTTGGAGCGAGGTTTCAGTAAACCTGGAACAATGTTTCGCGTACTAGATTTGTTGGCCATGGTGACACGTGAGGAGAGGGTTAAAAGAGTAAGCTTAGAGTTGAAAGTCGATGTAAAATGAATCATAGGATTTGAAGAAGGAGATTGATTATGGATACAGTGATCTTGAGTGCTGTTTGAGGTATGAGGGTGGTTATCACTTCCGGGTTGCTCATACCGAAGAAGGGTTCTTTTGAAAGTATCTGAGAAGGAAATTGGTTTAGGAGTGGTCTTGGTGACCTGAGAGCGTGACCGCAGTGCCCAAGGGACATTTATTCGATGCCGATCATGCACGACCTTTTTGTGAGTGGTCAGTTAAATTATCTGGAAAAAATGAAATCAGTATTCTAAGGGGACTATTTGAAACTTAAAATAGAGTAGACCTAATACTTTATAGTGAGCATGAACTAAAGACAAAGTGAGTTTTGTCTGAAAAATCTTGTTGGTCTCTGATCGTAAGGAGACTTGGAAGCCAAAAAAGGATTAAAACTAAGATTTTGTGCTGGTGAAAAGGACCTTAGGGTTGTAAATTTTTATTTGGACAGGCTTCAAAAAAGAAACATGTTGGAGACATTTCAATGAATTTTGGGTCTATTACATAAATGTCTTGAGTTTGCTCAACGAGCTGCGTATCCGCAGGCCTGTTGAAATCGCCACCACGGAACATGGCTGACCAAGACTGTAGATAATATGGAACTTGAGTTTGAAACGGTCGTATTGTTAAGCCCCGACAGAGCTATAAGTGTAAAGGGAGAGCGGCAATTTTATGAATTAGAAATAATATCTCACTTGCCATTTTCAAAAACATATTTAATGGAGGCGCGGTATAAGGACTAGTTAGCTGATGCTTGGAAATCAAAAGACGAGGGCCAGTGATTGATGTAGTCTACCGAAGTCAAAACTACGGGGTGAATTTTATCTTGCTGACCGATTTCAATACTTCATCCTCAAATGGTCGATATTTAATGTTAGGACACTTTATCGCACTTGCTTTAGACTTGAAAATTCTGAGATATATGGAAAAATGTCTGTGTTTGCACAAAAAATAGTAAACTGAATAGGGTAGTTACAATCGTTTGAAAAAATGGCTTATACAAAATGAAGATGAAGTTAGTGTGTGCTGTACATTTGGTTTGTGCCCGCCTGTGAGGTTATATAAAATAATAACAAGAAATAGAGGGAATGCGGTATTGTTTTTACAGTTTAAACAAAAATTATACAAATAAAAGTTAGGTTACATAAGATACGTTGAGTTTTATAGCGTATAACATGAGCTTAATAATGCGTCTGTATACAATGAATTGGAAGTTATAATTAATATTTAAAATAGTAGATCATTAATAAAAAATCGCAGCGTCATATTGTTGGGGCCATCTTACTCTGAGGCCAGATCTTGTTGTTATCGGAGTCTTGTCTTTTTGTCGCGTTAACGTCGTTGATTCTTGCGACTCGTGTTTCGCTGGTGTGACCATCTTAGAGTAGTTTGTACTTGTTGATTGAATATCGCTATCGAAAAAA